TGCCTCTATGAGGTCTTTTACAGCTAGTTCTGCAACCTTTGCTTTCTCGAACGACTGCTTTCTTCAGCGTTGCACGACCGCCTTGATGGCAGGATCAATGGTCAAGTGATGGCATGCAACCTCTGGATCTAAACTGGATATCTCAGTCGCACTCTAGGCGAACAAATCAACATTTTCTCTTAGGCAAGCTTTGAGTTTCCTTTTCTCCAGGTCGGGGAGGTCTACTCCGATCTTTACTCCTCTTCTGGAGTCTTCTTCGAGGGGAACTAGCTCGAAGTCGCTTTCCAGGATGGGTCGTGCGTGACTTGAGAGTTCGTCGCAATCAACATAGGAGGTCGACCCTTTGTCTTCAAGCATATTCTTATTCCCTTTCCTCCTTTGCTCGACATGGTCTTCCACGGAGAAGCGACTGTCGAGGTCAATGGTGTCAACCCTCGGCAGGGGCTTGACTTCCTCGGAGCTGGAGGGAAGTGAGGCTCCAGTGGTTGTTCTAGGTTGGGCACTGATGGAACTGAGGCCTTTGGCTGAAGCTTCGAAGCACCTTCTGGCTTCTTAGATGTCTCCGTGGATGGTGGAGACCAAGCCTTCAGCGGTGTAATACTTCATCTTGAGATGAACGGTAGAAGGGACCGCGATGAGTTCAGTGAGAGTGGGTCTCCCGAAGATGCACTAATAGAAAGACAGCCAATCTACCACCAAGAATTGGGTCTTGATGGCTCAGGCTGTTACCCCTCTCCTGAATGTGACTATCAGTTCTACATATCCCCAGGGTTTCATGTGGCTCCATTGAAGCCCTGGAGATCAGATCCTACGTAGGGGGTTAGGTGGCTCTCGTTCAGCTGCAAGGTGGTGAACAACTGGGCGTAAATGATGTTAACCGAACTTCCTTGGTCGACCAGAATGCGATGCACGTCAAAATTAGCCATCTGAGCTCTCACGAGTAGTGGGATGCTCGAATTCGGGGCCCCTCCTGACAGTTCTTCCCTGTATAAGAAGAGGGGATGAGAGCCTCCTCAGACTTTATCGAGTGTGGTGTCCATATCTGAGTTGGCTTCAATGAGTTGCTCGAATCTCCTCTTCACTGATCCAACTGTGTGCCTGTTGAACCCTCCGCCAGAGATGACCATGGCTGCGGAGAAGGATTCCCAAGGATTGTGGGAGGAGAAGTACCGGGGGACGTTCTCCATGTCTGAATAATAGAAGTCTTCCGACCGTGAGATGCTCATGGCGACCAGAATGGCGTCGAGGTCGGGGGATTTCTTCCCTTCCTCTATGTTTTTGGTTTCTAGTGCTTCGTCACGGGCACCCTCCTTCTTTTTGTACTGCTTGAGGTGCCCGTCTCTGATCAGTATTTCGATTGCATCCTTGAGATGAATGCAATCCTCCGTGTTATGCCTGTGACTCTTGTGGAACCTGCAATACTTGCTCTTGTCGGTTCCCAGCTTGGATGGTGTTTGCCGGGGGAAGCGTACCCTGGCTTGCTTGAATTCAGAATTGGCGCATTCAGAAAGAATACGCTCCCTTGAGGTTGTCAGAGGGGTGTAGTCGTGTAAACAACCGGCTGGCCCCTTGTAGTCTTTGGAATCACGGGACTTGTCCTCCCGTTTCTTCTCTCCATGATGGGATGTCGAGGGATCGTAATTCTTTGAGGAATTGGTACTCTCAATGTGCCTAGATTCCCTAGCACTATTGACTGCTTCCTTCTCCTCGTACTATATATACGTTTGGGCCTTGTGGAGGAGGGAGTCGAGCGTGGCCGACGTCTCTATGCCTATAGCTTTGGCAAAGTCACTGCGGGGACGGAGCCCGCGCTCGAGGAGGTACTTCTTCATGTTTTCCGTTGTTGGGACTTGGACCACTTCCTTGTTGAAGCGTTCAATATATGCTCGCAGAGACTCATCCCTGCTCTGTATGATTCCTTCTAGCGAAGCCTCCAGTTTCAGGTGTCGACGGGAGGCAGGGAAATGCCTCGAAAATATCCTCCCGAGATGTTTCCACGAGGTCATGGATTCATCGGGGAGGCTCTTGTACCACGATATCGCCCTCTTCCTGAGAGTGGTTGGGAAGAGTCTACATTTTATGGCTCCCATGACCCCTCGGTAGTCGAGAAGAGCGTTGATGTTCTCGATGTGCTCGTCAGGGTCTGTTGTTCCGTCGTAGGTTCCCAATGTAGGCGGCTTCTCTAGGCTAACAGAAAGGGGAGCTTCAGTAATCTCCCTCGATAGCGGGCCACGGGTCTCGTCATCCTTACTATCAACGAGAGATGGAGAAGAAGAGTAATAGTTTCTTCCCCGTCGATCGTCACAGACTCGTCGGGGGGAGGGGCTCCTCCATTTCTACTTTGGCTCAGGAGAAGGCAGTTGGACATGGTCGATTTGCCTAGTATCTTTCCTTTTCTTGAATGAATGGGAGTCTTGATCTCTGGCAGGAGGTGTACGGTTGCGTTTCTTGAAGAAAGAAACCGCCGCGCCTCTCCTTTCTGGGCGGTGGGCCACGACTGGGTGGCGATGCACTGGGGGAGTTTCATCGTCGGGTTCTCCGAGGAGGAGATCTTGACCGCCTGTTCTCCCAGGCCCGTATCCTTTGATTTTGTTATAGGATGAGGGCTTTCGTCTGATTGATAGCAGCGAGCACTGCTGCCATGTCCGGATTAGCATTTAGAAGGATGGGAACTGGTTGCATGACTTTTGGCAGTTTCTCGGTGAGATTCTTGGGATGTCATTTGTCCAAGAATTAGTCGTCACCGCGCCGAGCGTCAGTGGAATCCGGAGACGCGGTCTATCCGTCCCGGAAGCCCAGGTTATCCTCGAGGTGAAGATGTTCCTGACTTCCGCCGGTTTTGCGAGCCGGGGAAAGAATGGTCTTTCCATACATGTGAAGATCATCATGGTCGACCATGATTAGCGAGAGGAATCTTGAAAAAGTTGCTTTGATCTTAAGTTTCAAGGAGAGAAAGACGGGAAGAGCCGTTTCTCATAGACGACGCCACTGATCTTACCGGTTGATCAGAACCTGAGGAGTGGCTGGAGGATGATCTACAGTTGGGCTGTGAAGTCGAGGAGAAAAAGGGGGTTGTACCTGCAAGGCACTCTGACGATCAAGTAAGATTGGGAACAAGGAGATACAAGCAAAGTATTAGGTGGTGAATGGTGAATATTCGATACCTGTCCCTCACATGTGTGAGGGTTTATATAATTCCCCTGACGCGTGGCTTTGGTTCCTGATTTCACGCCTAGATATGCGGGCCCGTGAAATCAGGTAACTGTCAGGACTTGGTCAAACCGAGAAGATGTGCTTGTAACTAGTCGTTAGTCCTGAGGAGGGGGTTAATTATATGCATCTCTCTGGTCGGTTCCTGGTGGCCTGTACGACGTTGATGTCGGGCAGGCTGAGAGGACGCTTGTCGATCATCCTGGGCCAGTGCTGGTCCGGAAGGATAAATGGCTAACATTGCCTGACAGGTAGCGGGCAATCCGGGTCATGGTCGTGTGGGTCGTACTGAAGGACATGTCTTAGACTGGACCCATTCTAGTTGTCAAGCCAATCCAAAACAAAAAGGTTATGGTGCCTGATCACGTGCTGAGAATGATTTGTTGGATCTCTCCTATCTTAAGGAGGGTTAAGCTGAACACGGATGGTGCTTGCAAAGGCAATATTCTCGTAGGGTGTATTGAAGTTATCAGGGGGAGTCAAGGTGAGTGGCTTGGGGGCTTTGCTAGAGGTATAGGGAGATGTGGTGTGTTTGAGGCATAATTGTAGGGGTGCTAGAAGGGATCAGATTAGCTTGGCAGATGGGTTTTAAGGATGTTGAAATCAACTCAAATTCAACGATAATGGTGAATGTGATTAAAGGTGGGAAAATTACTTTGTCAGGAGAGGAGATTTTTCCTTAGTAAATCAGATTAGGCGCATGATGGACATGAATTGAAAGATTGATATTGTTCCTTGTTTTCGAGAGGCTGATCGGTGTGCGGATGCTTTAGCCAATTTAGGGTATACCCTTGATTTGCCTCTTAAGTTTTTTTTTTTATAATTGTCTTATTTTTATTTGGGAGATTTATGATGGTGATGTTGGGTTGGCTACCCCTAGACTTGTAGTCGTATAATCTATTTCTTTTTTTGGCTTAAATCCTTTCTTTTATAAAAAAAAAAAAGGAACTAACTCTCAAATCATATTAATTGATCTAACGGTCTGATAGTGATAGTGAAAAAAAACACAAATTCAAACAAAAATAAAATTCTTCAATTCAAAATCTTATTGAAACTTTGTTAACTTCAAACATGTCATGATAAATAGCTTTGAAACTTTGTTAACTTCAAACATGTCATGATAAATAGCTCCAGCAAACTGAATATCTTCAATGTCAAATGCAAAATATAATTAAATAAAATATTAATATTAATTTAAAAAAGTTAATTCAAAAATTAAAATATATACTATATCTAAAATGAACAATTTATTTTTTTCCATTCACTGTAGAAAAAAACTTATAATTAAACTTAATGTCATTAAATTTTTTGTTGATCAATATTGTTTTAACATATCTTTATTTTTATGTATCCAAAGAAATTATAAAAGTGTAAAAGTAAAGAAAAACAATAGTTTTTTGAAATATTTGTCTATATAACTTTAATGGAACAAGTGTTATATAGATATCCGACATTGATTCAAGAATTGTGAGAAAAAAAGAAAAATAAAACAATTTTTTACACACTAATTTGTGTCATTTAACATGTATAGTAAGAATGTCATCCAAATAACGACATCCATATTTTTAAAGGTGCTTGTGTTTCATAATTATCATTATGGAAATAAATTGATTCAAATTTGATTTTAAAAAACTCAGTGTTTTGACACAATTCAAATTCAAATGCAATTACATTGGTAAAAAGCAAGCAGAAATGTACGCAAGCAACCAAAAAGAGTATGAATGAAACTAAATGCATAAGGAACAAGTTTTCATAGTTTTTCAAAGCTGCCACTGAAATTTCCTTCGCAACTAATAACCCAACAAGAATCTGAACACGTCGCCTATGGAAATGATCCCTTCCACGCGCCTGCTGCCAGCCTCCACCACCACAAGTTCTTCAACATCTGTATTTTAATTGTTATCATAATATCAACATTAATATATATATATTACTCAAGGAAAAAAAATGGTACCAGAAGAATTAGCAAGGCTCTGTTAATGGAATTGAAAGACAGAGATTGTACCAGAATTAGCCAAACGTTCCATCGCCACTTGCAATGTATCGGACCTCGAACACACTGGAAGTAGTTGTTGGTCAATCATCACGCATGTCAATCGATGATCACGAAACATTTGCTGAAAAATTAAACCAACATTACTCGTTATAAAAATATTTCATGACAACTTGACAAGTTACCGAACACAGATGCAGACCCATAGTTATCGAGAGAGGAAAAGAGAAACTACCTGATAGATACAACATCTATCCAGACTTATCCCAGCATACACTTCAGTTTTAGCCAGTGCAGTAATATCACTGTGAAGAAAACAGAAATACATAAATATATGCTTCAGAAATGTGTGGCGGTTGTCAGCACAAACATTGGGACAAGGAGGAAAAGAAGAGTTTCTACCTTCTTGAATATATATAAAGTAATGAACCATCATCATTCACAATTGGTATTGAGCTAACTTCACCTGCAAAACGATAGTAAATGTAAGATGACAAAAGATAGAGAGAGTAATCAATGTATCTTTCGCTTCTAAAATGGATATATCGCTACATTAATAAACTTGAATATCATATACTTGACCCTAATTTGAATAAGAAAATGATCACCTTGAATCAGTATAGATAGAGCAGCACTAACAGAATCAGTTGACTTTAGCATTGCAAGTGGCTGCTTATTGGATTCCCCCACACTTGACACCCACGTACCCAAGGGTATCGAACCAACCGGTAGTTGAAGAATGGGCAAAGAACCAGAACAGTTCTTGAAATGCCTGCATATACCTGAAAATTAAGTCCATAGTCAGTTTCAAATTATTTATACATAGCCAGCAAATCTAGAAGCTTACAATTTAGAACGTCTGTGAGAGAAGCTAGGTGTAGCAGCTGAGGAACTGAACCACCCTCGGAAGATGAATCTATAACAGGAACTGCTGGCACCTTGTTTTGCAAAATTTTTAAGGCAATGTCTTTTAGACTCTCATCGGGCCCAGCCTACAGATTACAAATAAATATAGAATGAAATACTATAATATCATAAAGGATAAGCATAACTAGAAATCACAATCAGCGTTCAGCACGAAGTACACGACAAAAGAGCAGCGCGTTCTCAAGGTTTAATGTTAAAAGCCCCCTCACAACATTATGATTAACAAAATGCTAAAAGAAAACTACGAGAAGGAACCAAGAAAAACCAAGCCTGATTGATGGGAAAAAACGGTACAAACATGGTACTGTATTACAAAGGATAGGGAAAATCTCCTTTGGATATAGTACAAACTAACAGAACTTTGAGATGATGACAACCTAAATTTTCAATTTAAAATAGAGGTTTCTTTTATTAAAAATACTTGAGGAGACTAAACACCTCATAGGATCCATAGAAGATTCGATACTAGAAGTAATATGTGGCTTAAAAGTTGCATTAACTATTGAGAGCTAGATTGAAGGAAATGCTTTTTCTGCAAAAAAAAAAAAACTAAGTTCTTTAGATATATCTAAAATCATTGGCAAATACCAGTATTTATTTATTTGTTTATTTTTAACATTTTCACAAGATTATAATTTAATATTCGTCAATCATGTTGTGGAATCCCTGATTAATTCCGAAATATATATGATCAGAGGTTACAGCCTTCAACTTATCCAAAATGATAAAAACCTTGAAAATATATATAATTGGGGAAAAAATTTGATACACAATTTTTTTCTCATATAACTGTTGAGCAGAACTTACATCAACAAACCTCCAAGGATAGGTTCTCCCACTACTATCAGTTCTGCACTGGTGTAATTTTCTCTCTATCCATGCTGCTATAGTAGGTGTCTTAAGTTGTTCTTCAGCCATAGTGGATCCATGACTCCCCAGCTGAAATTAAGCATGTTAGATGACACAGAGAATTTATAAAACCACGCACTATGTGTTCCTCTAAAAGGTAGGCAACCAATCATTGACATTTTAACCGATATTAACTTGGAAATAACACACTCAATCTCATAATTATTCTTTGACTATAATAAATCAATAAAGAAAGGAAGAGATCTAGCACTAGGCACAGATTTTTATGGAAAAAAAGTGTTCCAATGACAAAACAAGCCATGCCATTTGTGAAGGAAAAGAAACACCATCAATAGAGGCGGCATGAGTGAAATAGCATAAAAAGAGAAGGATCTTTCGATAACTTAGGAATTTTTTGGTCATATGCAACACCAAATAAAACATGTGCTAAAACGAAGGCCAAAAAGATCGTAAGGGAAAATAGTATATTATGGGCTAAACATTTGATCCCTTATTTAAAGCTTAACCACAATCAATCAATTGTGTAATCAAATATCTACTAAGGATCTAATCAGTAGCCTATTTTCTATCTAAGAATGAGAAATCATCACAATTACAGTCGGTCATATCTTCTACTATAACAGTGAATGTTCTAATAATAGATTGAAGGATAGCAAGTTTTCTATCATGACAATATGCATGATCATGATCCCAGCCAAACCACACAAATATCTAAAATGGAAGAACTAGAAATCATTTTTCAAGAAGAAAAAAGTATTACGGGACCCAAAAGGCACATATTTCAAGGATCGCTCCTCCCAAATAAATTCCTCTATATATTTTATACAAGTCTCAGTAGTCTTATTTGAACCTACTCCATTAAATGATAGATAATTAGCCTAAAATGATGATAATAAAAAATTTTCATATCAAATTTACACTATCAATGTATGCAATAAATGGTTAAAAAAATTACTCAGCATAAATCAATATTGTCATCTGCCTCATAGTTTCTTTCTACTTCACGTGGATTTAGGCCTCAATTAAGTTACTATATAATAAAAAAATTCCTTCTTTGACCATTTTTACGGACTGTTACCAATTTTCTTTTTTCATTCAGTTTACCAAAAATCTCCACTAACCTCTTTAAGTATTTGAATAATGTCCATAGCACTAAGCACTCCAACAAGCTTGCACTTGCTTGAATCCCACACAGGAGCCACAGATATTTTCTGAAAGCAGAATAAGTTACAATATATATATATGTTAAAAGTCCCACGTCGGATAATATATAGTCTGGTTTTGTAGGATTGAGTTAGGCCCAATCCACACAATGTAAAAGTCAGCCATGGAGATTAATATACATTGCATGTGCATGGGCATGTGTTCTGATTTGAAGAGAAGGATGAATAACACCTCAAATAAATAGTGTAATGAGGGAGAGGAGAACATACCTGTTCATAAAGAACATGGAATGCTTGCTGAATTGATAAATCTATATCTAACACAACAACCTGAAATTATCTGAAGCAAATTAGCTTCACTAAAGAGCAGATAAATTCCTACTGGATGGACACATTGAAAAGACAAAGGAGAGAAAGGTATTAAATTACCTTGCCGGACATGGGAATCAATTCAAACACAGTATTTGATGACATGAACATAGATAGATGGTAGCGAGAGAGATGGAGGGCAGACTCCCTAGCAAAAGCTTCCTGGAAAAGCTCCAAGGTTAAGGTACTTTCTTTTATGTAGTATAAATTTTAATACTAGAAGGATTATGGGATCAAATCTGACACCCATCTGGAGAAGAGGATATTAGAATACAAAGGAAAATATATTTTCAAAGCAAATATAAATATTTTTAAGATTTGAAATTTCTAGCATCATTTTTTTTAATAAAAGAATTTTCGTAAGAGAAGAAAAAGTTAATATTCAAACACAAAAATCATTAACAGAATCTGGCTCTCCATTCTCTTTGTGCACATCTAATGAAGAGTCCGTTACATAAACAATAGGCCCAATCAAAGAGATGCTAGAAGAATGATTATGTCCCATATTAGATATAAGGGCTGAGAAGAGTTTTTGAAGACACCGACATTCCTATAATGCCAAAACGCCAAAACCCATGAAGATAATCAAAAGGGATTGTTCAACAAAATATGCTAGGGAAGTTCCACATTAATGCTATCTCACTAAGAAAGGGAGATGACTCCTTAAGGGAAGGTCCGCATATTAGACCTTGTGAGTTAGTCCAATAATCCAATGAGAATCAATTTGGTTTCTTCTAGATTTTTCAGGCTATGCCATTGTGTGGTATGAACAGTATCAGTATGAAGTATGAGCTTCCCAAAAGCTTAAGCTGTTGGGTGAAAGCTTGTGATAGGTTTAATAACTACATGTTGCAACTCAAAATTTCTTTGGACTTGAAAAGTTGTGACAATACAAGCTTGCTTTACCTGGTGCCCAAATTCAACTTCTTTGTTTTGAAAGATGGTCTTAGAATCCATGCTCAGGCCTAACTCAACCTTAGAAGCCACTTCATGGGTGGCCCGACAACAAATCTAGGATAGGCTCTGGCTGCCACCTTTACCCTCATCTTAGCTGGATTTTGGGGGTAGAGTTAGGCCTAAACCCAAGTTATAAGTAATGGGTTGAATTCCTAATCACTTTGTCATGAGATGCTTAGATACCATGCCAAACATCAACTACCCCCAAAAGGTTAAGATAATAGGTGAAGGACAAGATTGGTTTTATATACCTAAAAGTAGCAAAATGTGTCACCTTAAAGTAAATAGGTGCTCATTATTCTTAATAACTGGTTTATAACTCTCAGCCAAAGATAAATGATATCTTCGGTAGTTTAATAAACTGGGATTTACTGTCATGTGTATGATAGTTTTTTAGGAGTGCATTCCTATTAACTTAAAGGCAGAGAAGGATCCTGCTCTTTTTTACGGATTCGCACCACAACAACTAGTGACAATTTTCACTGTTTAATAATTTTAATATGTTATGTCAGTATGTTTCTTCCTTTCTTTCAGATTCTGGAACACCCTCTTTATATAGATATTTTTTAGTTTTTTAAACATTAATGGAAGTTTTGAAGAAAATAACACATCATTTTGAGTATAATAATAATCAAAACTGAAGTCGTTGACCTATAACATGGTTTAGAATCCTATCCAAGTACAATATATGCAACAATGCAAGGGGGAAAAGATGGGATGGGAGAAGAAACATACCATGTGCCCAGGCACAAAATGGCCAAGCTCCATGTGGGATCCACTAGGTGTTCCAGCAATATTGTGATTACAAAATAATCCAGCATTTAAGATGGAAGGTAAAATATATGGTTGTTCAACAAAAATAGTATTCACTACTCCAAAGCTCACATATATAAACGGCCTGTGCTCATCATGCCGCCACTCACCATCCACATTAAACTTGTACTGTACATATTTGGTAATGATGTTAGTCTCATCAATATGAATCAAATATCCTTCTCATATTATGCATTAATAAGTATTTAAGTTTTTCCATAAGATATCCGATATTGCACCAAACAAGTGGATTTTATTTTAAATACCAATCCATTAGTCACTATGACAGGCCACAATGTAAATGCATAATTGATAAATTAATTGACAAATTTACAATAAATCATCTATTTCATAGTTATTAAATCTATACATAACAAATATGTTATATAAGATAACCTTTATCCTGATGAATGTTGGTTAAACAAAAGAACATAACAAGAACACAATCTACTATATATGCCCTTTTTCATAGGTGGCAGCTTGAGCAGCATCACCCTTCTTTAGGTGCATATATTAAAAACGTAGATAAAAGGAAATCTAATCTACCATCTAGATTAAGCTCAGGACACAAAACGTGATGCATTTGATATGGAGATCAACACCAACCACTAAGTCTAACTTACAATCTAGATGGCCAATGTTAGCTAGAAAACATCAAATGACTTCCTTCATAGTCTGAATGATGCAAATAACCCAAATATCTTTCCCTTTAAAAAAAATTAAGTGTTTATTGATCATGACAATTTCAAGAAGATACAAAGTGACTTATGCAGCATAGAAGGCCGTGCAAGATTATCACCTACAGACAGTCATCTTAAATTTATTTGTTTGCTTCTCACTATTCTAAATCTAACGCATCAAAATCTTAAAGGCTTAAATGTGGTTTAAAGTAAGCCATTTACAAGCACACACTTCCTTCATCCTTTCTTTCCTTTTACCTTTAGCAGTATGAAAAATAAAACTCAATGATCTCATCCCCTCTCTGGTCTCCAAGGAGAGAAAGAGGGCATCCTGACCGGCTAAAGATCATCGACTGTGTATAAAGAAACATCGAAATAAAAATTTCAAACAAAAGTTGTTTTTTCCTTTCAGTTTTTCCAGATTCATAGAAGCCAAATTACCTGATGAAACCCCGGTGTCAAGCTGCAAGTAGCTTGAAATGCGTTCGGCTGGCCTTCGATTCGAGACATAGGTATAATGGTCGCCCAGCTGTGCATACATAAATAACATAATTAAGCTAACTCAAGCATGCAATAAACAAAAATAATAACAAAAAAACTACCAAAAAGAATCAAAGTGACAGCAACATAACCAAAAAAAGTTGAAGTTTTAACCCGGTGAAAGAACCACAAACAAACACATTTGTTCCACCATGAGGCCAAATAAACATCTGAGGAACCAAAAAGGGTTCAGGTACTCCGCTACTACTTCCACGTTCTCCACCTGCAGCTAATGAACCAAACATTTCCATCTCAAAAAAAAAAAACTGAACACAATCGAAACAAGCTTGGATTACTAAGTAGCAAGAACTGAACAAGTTTGAAAAGCAATGTAGGAAGCAAATAGCATAACCTAGTTCGAATTTATATGAGTTTAGGTTGAGAGAAGGAAAGCATGAATAGCGTGAAATAGCATTGTGAATTGTGCTGCGAATACCGGTTACAAAATAATGAATCAAGTGGAGTGAGAGAGAATGAAGAAAAACGTGATGCGGTGAACAAAAATGGAAAAAGAAGAAGAAACGCTTATATCTGGAAGCATCCGAGTGAAGCCTCGTTGATCATGATGATGGGAAAATGCATTTTTGAAGAAAAATGAGTTGTTTTGTTTGTCTTTGTGTAAAACTGATTTTGGGACTTTCCAACGGCTACGCGAATATGCAATTTGTCTTTTAACTAGATTTGGCTTTCATTTTACATGAATGTTATTCCTACATTACAATATAAGACAATATTTACACCAAAATATTGTTAACCATATTTATACGATCAAAGTGTTTTTTTTAAATAAAAATTATATATTTATAAATAGTAATTTCTAAACAAAAGTGATTTTTGATGATAAAATAAAGTTGATTAACGAAGTGTAAAAAATTAATTAATGAAATGATAAAATTGATTAATAAATCTCAAAATATTAAAAATAATTTTTAATAGTAAAACAAAATTAGTTAATAAAATGTAAAAAATTAATTAAAGAAATGATGAAATTAGTTAATAAATATCAAAATATTAAAAATAATTTTTAGTATTAAAATAAAATTGATTAATAAAGTATGAAAAATTGATTCATGAATTAATGAAGTTGATTAATCACATAAATTTAAAAAAAATATTTTTATATTTTAAAAAATTATTATTTTATTAATATAATATTTTACTATTTATTATATTGATGAACAATGAAATACAATGTAGATGTTACTGTTAGTGTAAGAATAACATTTTTCTTGATTTTATACTAAATATTAAAAGTGTAAGACTGTTTTATAAAATTGTTTAATTAAAATATTTATTTTGATATATACAGGATATTATTATACTTCTTTCAGTTTTTTTTATAAAAGACATTTTAGTTTTCTAAACTAATAGAATAATTAATTTAGTTTATAATACATATTAGATGTATTAATTATTTAATGAATCTAAAAAAATTAATTATCTCTTATAAAAAGATCGGAAAAAGTATTAAAGAATATTAAGAATATTATAATATTAAAAATAATTAAGAATAATAATATATTAATCATCTGATGTCTAAATTTTTTACAATACTAGACGTGCAATGTTTAAATAACTTAACCGAATAATTTAATCTATAAAAATTTATTCAGATATAAAATATAATTAAATAATTTATCAATAATTAATGTTTAATAACAAATAATCGTATTATAATTAATTATGTCAATTTATATTTAATTATTTAAATAATGAATTTAATATATTGGAAATTAATTAATTAACTAAAATTATTTTAAATTAAATATACAAAACCTTCATTTAATATTAGCGAGTTTCTTATTAGACCATTGCAACAAATCTTTCCCTAAAATATTCTATGTGGGGCTCTACTTTTTTTCTATTGCAGTCACAAACACTATCTTAGAGGAACACTGCAGTTTCATCACCAGTGCAATTTTACCATGTCAGTTTTAACTTTATGTAACTTTTGTATAGGTAAGGTTTCAAAGTTCCTTCTTAGTTACCCCCAAATCTATGTTAAATAGAGAGAAGGAAAAGAGAGAGAAAATGTAAAAAATATTTCAGGATTTGTTCACTCATTAGTTTTTTTTTTTTCAAATTTCGTTTTAACGTACCATACCAGCTATGTCTAGAAAGAGAAGGAAAAGAGAGAGAAAATGTAAAAATATTTCAGGATTTGTTCACTCATTAGTTTTTTTTGTTTCAAATTTCGTTTTAATGTACCATACCAGCTATGTCTAGAAAGAGAAGGAAAAGAGAGAGAAAATGTAAAAATATTTCAGGATTTGTTCACTCATTAGTTTTTTTTGTTTCAAATTTCGTTTTAACGTACCATACCAGCTATGTCTAGAAAGAGAAGGAAAAGAGAGAGAAAATGTAAAAATATTTCAGGATTTGTTCACTCATTAGTTTTTTTTGTTTCAAATTTCGTTTTAATGTACCATACCAGCTATGTCTAGACAGAGAAGGAAAAGAGAGAGAAAATGTAAAAATATTTCAGGATTTGTTCACTCATTAGTTTTTTTTGTTTCAAATTTCGTTTTAATGTACCATACCAGCTATGTCTAGAAGCAATGATAATCAAATACAAATCAAATTTCGTTTCAAATATGAATGAGAGAAATATATTATTTTCTATTGGAAATCAACTAATTTTTATGATGAATTTCTATTAATTTTAATGAATAAGATTTTTATCATCATACAATGATAATGATGAAGAAGAAAAATTTAAAGAAGAAAAGAGATTTAAGATTTCTGCAGAGTAATTCTCTATCTAAAAACTGTGGAAAACTTTCTTATTTACTTGCAACTGCAAATTATGTGAATACAACTTGATTACAAAAATAGGGGTTACTACCTCTACTTATATATTTATGTTAGCTTGCTCTTTAAGGCAAAATTCAAAACTATAAAAGGCTAAAATACCTATTTTAGAACTAAATCAAATATATTTATTTTAAACCTAAATTAAATTTATATGTTTTAGATCTAAATCAAATATGTGTGGAACAAACTGCTTTCACACTTCGACACAATCTTTTCGACACTTCCTTGTTTTCTATCGAGCAAGCTGCTTCGACACATGAAATTATACTTTCAACAAACCACCTAATTCAATGTGTCTAAGTTATCTATATTCATCATAGTTCTTAGTCTTCTGAATACTTCGACCTGCACACTCTTCGTCATGATGTTTGCAATCTAGTTCTTAGTTCTGCAGTGTTGCAAGTTCATCTTCCCATCTGCTACCTGCTTTCGAAGATAGTGGGGCTTCATTTCGATGTGCTTCCTTCGACCATGTGTTATCTGATTCTTTATCAAATTGATAGCTGACATGTTGTCGATCTTCATGGTAATTGCTCCATGATTTTTACCTGTGATTTATTCGATCAAATTCATCATCTATGTTGCTTGACATGCACAAAGAGAAGCAACTATGTACTCTGCTACTACTGGTTCTTCTCTCGAACTCCAAGCAATTGGTGCACCACCTAGCATAAACACATATCTTGTTGTAGATTTTAATCATCGGCATCACTACACCAACTTGAATCAGTGTATCCTACTAACTTGCACTCTTTTCCTTTATCAGCTTCAGGAAACAAAATGCCATAGTCGAGAGTTCCTTTCAAATACCTCAATATCCTCTTCATCGTTGCTAGGTGTAATATCTTTGGCTTCTGCATGAATCTACTTACCATATCCATATTGTATGCTAAGTCAGGCCTCATGTGACAAAGTTATCTTAATGACCCAATAAGTCTTTTGTATTGGGTTGGGTTGACATCATCTTCATCTGTATCTTTCTACAATTGCAGTCTTGATTATGCAGGTGTTGAAGTTGAGTTGCATTATTCCATCTCAAATCTCTTGAGAATTTCACTTGCATATCTTCTTTGATGCATCATCAAACCTCTACTACTCTTATAGAATTTAATGCCAAGGAAATATGAAATGTCATCCAGATCAGACATTTCGAATTCCTTGTTGAAATCACCTTTGAAGTCTTTGACCTCCTTCTTGCAGCTACCTGTTATTAACAAATCATCAACATAGAGACATATTATAAGAAATTCACTATTGCTTCTTCTTACATATACTCCTCGTCCAGTTGTGCACTTCACAAATTCCTTATTCCTTAAGAAACTACCAATCTTCTTATTCCAAACTCTTGGAGCTTGTTTCAATCCATACAGGGCTTTATACAACTTGTACACTTTTTTTCTCTTCGTCATGTTTCACAAACTCAACTGATTGTCTAACATAAACTTCTCCGTCTAAGGGTCCATTCAGGAATGCAAACTTCACATCCATCTGACATATGTGTCAACTGTTTACTTCTGCTACACCAACAATTAACCTGATTGTTTCGATTCTAGCCACAGGTGCAAAAACCTCATCGAAGTCTATTCCTTCTTTTTGGAGAAATCCTTTCGCCATGAGCCTTGCTTTGTGTCGAGTTACTTCCCCTTTTAGATTCATCTTCACTTTGTATACCCACTTGACATCAATTTTTCTCTTGCCTTGAGGCAATTTGACGAGTGACCAAGTGTTGTTGTCTTCGATGGACTTCACTTCTTCGTTCACTTCTTTCACCCAATTTGAATCCTTCAATGCTTCGGCTGCATTTATAGGTTCGACATATGCATAGAAAGCATAATGTACCAGCTCACCTTTATTATCGACCATATCGTCTGATGTAATCACACAATCTTGCAACCTTGTAGGCATGTGTCTTGTTCTCTGAGGACTGCTTGTACTTGGTTGATCTCTTACTTCCTCTTGTCTAACTTCCTATTGTCAAACTTCTCTTTTGACTTAAGTTTTCGGTTCTTCAAGTAAGATTCTAGCTGAATCTTTCTTGACATTTTGAGTTCAACCCCATTCTTTAAGCTCATCTATGATCACGTCCCTGCTGATCACAATCTGCTTTCTCACTGGGTCAAACAACTTGTAACCTCTTGTCGAATGATATCCTACTAGGATCATTTGACATGACTTGTCATCAAGTTTTCTTCTCAACTGATCTGGCACATGTCTATATGCAATAGATCCAAATACCTTCAGATGACTCAAGCTAGGCTTCACACCAGACTAACATTCTTCTGGAGTAATTTCTTTTAGCTTCTTCATTGGACATTTGTTCAAAATATATGTTCCAGTAGACACAACTTCACCCCAAAACTCTTTAGGTAAATTATTGCCTTTTAACATACTTCTCACCATATTTATGATGGTTCAATTCTTTCTTTCTGCGGTCCCA